GACACTCCATAAGTCTGCATGGCCTCAGCCAAATCCTTTAACTGTTTATAATCTACCAGCTCATGAAATCTCTGCCCTGTTTTGGGATCCTGAAAGATGGGAAACGCAGTAGCCAATCGGCTCCATGTGCTAGGCTTAATAAAGGAAGCAGAAGCAGCAGGAGGTGCTGATGGGCCACTCCTTGTACCACTAGCTCTGGGTGAATCATATGGCGGGGGGGTTAGTATTCTCTGGACTATACCACTCCCGTTCATACTGAGCTGTGGCTTCCTCTAGATCTTCCTCCTCCTCCACATCTAATTGGTCCTCATCCTTGGAGGACTCATCTATAGTAAAATTGGGAAATTCCTCCAAGAGTGGATACCGCGTATCCTCCAGCTCCCTGTTTTTCTCTGGAGCTTTCTTTTCCCTTTTCCGTGAGCTTTTGTTGCCCTCCTTAGGCCTATGTTTTTTGCGTTCTCCTGTCTTTTCTTTCTTGGTACCTAGCTCCGACATGCTATCCTGGTAGGCTGAAAGCGCTCTTTGGCCCTCTTTTAATGCTTCGACGCATTTCCTGTCCTGCAAACAGGCTCGTACCAGTTTCCATAATGGCTGAGTTCCTGGCCGAAGCTTACCCTCCACCTTAGCTGTCTCAAGATCCCTACCTAGCTTGTCCCAGCAAGGGAGATTGATGTCCCCCGAGCCTCCAAACCATGACGCTGCTCGATCCACATCCTCCAAAAACTTCCTTATGGTACCCTCAGAGATTTTTAGATCTCGGTCCCTAAGCAACCTCTGGATAGGGCGTGAGAAAGGTGCCATACATACCGGCTGGTCCAGATGCTACATTTCCCATGCTGTACGTTTATCTGTATACACCTTACGCACGAGTGAAATGCCTATCTATCTACACTGGGCTTACTTTCAGTTTTATTTACTGCCGGTCCCAGCAAATACACTCTTGACTGGTTTTATGACAGCGTGGAAAAAAGGCAGCAGGCAAGCACCAAGACAACCATACCCAGAGTGACAGGGGCTCCCCAAAGCGGATTCACTCCTCCACTCAGCATGTCAGAAGTAATACTCACGGAGAACTCACCGGCGCCGCCGCTCCGTGCGTCTGAGTTCTGAATCCTCCCGCTTCCGCAGGGGTCTCTGCCTGATGCCATGATGGAACTCCCAGGTTTCAGCACCACTTGTGGCACGCCGCTTCCGCCAGCAGAAGAAGCGACCACAACAGGATTCTTTTCAGAACACACTTTATTGGAGCGCTTACACTTGAGAATTGAGAGAGGCAAGAAGACCCCGTCCCCATGGAAGCAGAAGAATATATATGGTGCCAGACAAAGCCCTGACGTGTTATCAACCCAATGGCTCAGGAGTGATCGTGCTAAATTATGATTGGCCAGATCGAATGGCCAGATGGAAAGACTCCCCGTGCTAGGGGGAGCATGCTCGCATGCGCACAAGTTGTTTACCAAGTTTAACATGGAAAAGCAAATGGCGCCCAGGCTCTGTGCCAACACACCCACGACATGACTGCGCCATGGCACGAGCTACATTCCAAGATGGCGTGGAACTCATTGTATGTGTAGTGACTTTCTATCCTTCCTCAGTCTCCTGTGTGTTTACTTATTATAATTGTGCATTTTTATAAATGAGTGATCTTGAATGTTTTAAAATAAAAGTCTATGCAAAGATAGAAATTTTCAAAGCAAACCAAACTGTGAGCTCAAAAACAATTGCATGATGTTTTCGTATTTAATATTCACCAGAAATATTATGTACATAGAAAAAAAGAACAATCTAAGTGAAAGAATTAGCTTCAAGATGTAAAAGAATATATGTTGAATTCTTCTCTCTTCCTCAAAATTATGTAGGTAATATATGCTCTGAATACCAAAAATGATGAACACGAGTCTGCAATTCAGGCCCTCAAAGATGCTCATGAAGAAGAAATCCAACAAATTCTTGCAGAAACAAGAGAAAAAATACTGCTCTATAAAAGCAAGGTAACAGAAGAGGTAGACCTTAGGAGAAAGATTCAAGTTCTGGAAGCATCTTTGGAAGACCATGTGAAGATGAAACAGCAAGCTCTGACAGAGTTTGAAGCCTTTAAGCACAGAGTTGCAGACATGCAGCTTTGTGCAGAGGCCCAGCATGTCCAGCGCATAGTAACCATGTCGCGGGAGGTCGAAGAGATTAGAAGGAAGTTTGAAGAGAGGTTGCGGAGCTTTGGACAGCTCCAAGTACAGTTTGAGAAGGACAAACGGTTGGCCCTGGAAGATTTGAGAACCACCCACAGACGGGAAGTCCAAGAGCTGTTGAAGTCGCAACAGGACCACAGTGCTTCAGTGAACAAGGGGCAGGAGAAGGCAGAGGAGCTGCACAGGATGGAGGTGGAGGCCTTGAACAGCACCCTGGAAGAGCTGCGACTTGAAAAGAAGAAGCTCATCGAGGAATATGAAGGCAGGCTGAACAAAGCCCAGATATTTTACGAGCGCGAGCTGGATAACTTGAAAAGGTCACAACTCTTCACAGCGGAAAGCCTGCAGGCTAGCAGGGACAAGGAGGCCGAGCTTCGCAAAGAGTTCCAGGGACAAGAAGCCGTTCTGCGGAAAACCATAGGAAAATTGAAGACCGAGTTGCAGATGGTGCAGGATGAAGCCAGCAGTCTGCTTGACAAATGCCAAAAGCTGCAGGTGGCCCTGACTGCAGCAGAGAGCAATGTACAGGTGAGTGGGCATGGGTTGGTTAGTCTTTTCTTTCTTTACACGTTTTGTGTGTGCGCATGCGTGCGCATGTGTGTGTGTGTGTGTGTGTGTGTTCGTGTGTGTGTGTGTGTGTGTGTGTGTGTAAACCTGAGGTTGACACTGGGTGTTTTCTCAGATTGCTTTCCACCTTCTGTGTTGAGGCAGAGCCTTTGCTACACCAGAGGACTCCATTGGCCTTTTCAGATATCGGGCTAGTCAGCTTGCATCGGGGTTTCCTGGCCTCTGCTTCCCTGGCTCTGGCACTGCAAGGGGCCATCACCTGGCTCTAGCTGGGTTCTGGGGAATCTGAACTTTGGCCGGACATTTGGATAATAGACACTTTACCCATACCCACTGAGCAATCTACACACACAGGCATGTGCACACACACTTTAAAAAACTTCATTTTGGATTTATTTATTTTAGTTTACATATTTGGGTGTTTTACTTGCATTTATCTGTTAATGGATGGTTGTAAACCACCATGTGGATGCTTGGGAATCGAACCCGAGTTCTCGGCAAGAGCAGCAAGTGGTCTTAACTGCTAAGGCATTGCTCATCCTTACCCACTTTTTCATATGTATTGCTTTGTTGACTTGGAGGGCAGCCAGGCTGGCTTTGAATCAGCTGTTTATATTCATACCACTTTACACCTCCAACCCAGTTTTTGTTTTTGCCCTTGTGTAGAAAAAAAAATGTAGAAGGGGACATTCTTATTACCTTTACCTATTATTAATTTGGACATCAAGCACCCAAAAGATAAGTTTAAACCTTGTTGATACTATGAATAGGTTTCAATTAAACAGCTTCCTAGTATTTCTATTAGAGTTATAATATCAAGCTTAGGGGTTGGTTGTGTTCTTCTTTTTCTCTTCAATAAGGATGGTCTGTCTCCTTATTTGGTATTTAGACACCGAACCAAAAAAAAAATTGCTTTTGGTGGTGTGCACCTTTAATCCCAGTGCTCAGGAGTCAGAGCCAGGCAGATCTTTGAGTTTGAGGCCAGTCTGGTCTATCAAGTGAGTTCCAGAACAGCCAGGGCTACACAGAGAAACCCTGTCTCAAAAAACAAGCAACCAAACAACCAAACAAAAAGTAGCATTTAGTAAGAGTTAGTCCACATATGGGAAAGATGCCAAAAAGCTTCTACGAGCTTTGTCATGCTAGCACAGAAAGCTTCCTGGCTGTGCTAATATCTGCAGAGCATTAGAATTCTTTAGGCAGGGTAGAAATAGACTTCCCTAATTGGGTCATATGACTTCAAATGTCAGGTTGTGTTACTTCTTCTAACAGAGTTCAAACTAAGTAGTCCTCGTTCCACGGACCTCTCCAGTAGGAGAAAGGTGTTGCTTGCAATTTAAATAAATTATTTAGTTTAGTGTCATGCTTGCATTTTGATTATGACTATTTGATCTTTCTTAGGTTCTTCAAAAACAGCTTGATGATGCCAAGGAGGGAGAAATGGCCTTGTTGAACAAGCACAAGGAAGTGGAAAGTGAGCTAGCAGCTGCCCAGGAGCGTTTACAACAGCAAGCGTCAGACCTTGTCCTCAAAGCTAGTAAGTCCACCGGTAGCTCGGTGCGGTGCTCAGCTAAAACCCTCTCTTTGCTGCTCATCCAAACAATATCTGAGCAAAGTGCTTCTAATTTAATATTTACCATCTCTTATGATGTTTTAAAATGGTTTCTATTGTTTTTATTTTAAAATAATATCTAGTATTTTCTTGGATAATTATAACAATGAAATGACGAAATCATCAACGGTTGTGGGGCACAGCCCCCCACTCCCAGCAGCCTACAGAGAGTAGTCCTTTTAGGACTCCACTGAAGTTAAGCCAGATCAGAAAGGGTTTTCAGAACAAGCCAGCTTGAAGCAGTATTGTTTGCCTGAAGAAATTTTTTTTATTGATTTTATTGAGCTATACATTTTTCTCTGCTCTCCTCCCTTTTTCTCTTTTCCCCTTTAACCCTCCCCCAAGGTCCCCATGCTCCCAGTTCAATCAGGAGATCTTGTCTTTTTCTCTCTTTGTTCCTCATTGTTGCCTAGGTTCTCTGGGATTGTGATTTGTAGGCTGGTTTTCTTTGCTTTATGTCTAAAAGCCACTTATGAATGAGTACATGTGATAATTGTCTTTCTGGGTCTGGGTAACCTCACTCAATATGATGTTTTCTAGCTCCATCCAGAAATAACAAGATGTTGTTTATTTTTCTGCTGTGTAGTACTCCATTGTGTAAATGTACCACATTCTCCTTATCCATTCTTTGGTCGAGGGACAGTTAGGTTGTTCATAGCGGCATTGTTTGCCTGAAGAGATTTTTTTTATATACAATATTCTGTCTGTGTGTATGTCTGCAGGCCAGAAGAGGGCACTAGACCTCATTCCAGATGGTTGTGAGCCACCATGTGGTTGCCGGGAATTGAACTCAGGACCTTTGGAAGAGCAGGCAATGCTCTTAACCACTGAGCCATCTCTCCAGCCCCCTGCCTGAAGAGATTTTTAACATAGATTTAAACCCAGGGTCAACAGAAGAGAGGTGATCCCTGAACAAATAAGACACACCCACATGTGGGCGTGGCCTTCTCAAGGGAGAGCTGCACCCGGCTGTCTTCCCAGAAGCCTTGCTTATGATGTTACTGCATTTCCAGTTGCCATCTTTAGAGCTGTCAGGGAATCCGAGGTTAAAGGGGGCTCCTGAAGTGTTCCAATCCAGGATTTTTGTCACTGTGGCATCCCCAGATCACATGAACTGTCAACAAAAGTTGATTGACTAGTTTGTGAGATTTCCAGAAAATATTAGAAGGCAGAAGAGCAAATTCAAAGTTAGGTATGCTCAAGCCCTAAGAAGATTCATTGCTGTTTTTACTTTCTTGTTTGGGAATATCTTCATGTCAGAGGAGCAGTGTCTCTGTGTAAGCAGTGCTTTCAGCAGGTGTTGACTGCTGGGATGCTTAGGTTTCTGTTGTTGAGAGACCGCACCTAAGCTTTGGACCTGGTGGCTCCTTTTCCTTCCCGCTTCCCCTTCTCATCCCCTGTCTTTCTAGCTTGCCTCAAGATGCCTCAGAGTTTTGGTTTTAGGAGTATATTTTTAGAGAAGACACTCAAAAAAAAAAAAAAAGAGCAATTTATTCTTTTCTGTTCTTCCTCTCTCTTTCCCTCTGTCTGTCTGACTCTGGAAGAATTTGTATGTAGGGAACAAAGGTGATTTCACACTGGACAGCTGAGTCACCCATCTGATGTGGCCACTCTTCTTCATCTCATAGCTCTCAGCAGGAAGATGCTGGTCCAGGTCGTCCGAGGTTGCCTTTTGTCAAAATGGACTGTGTATCAAGTGAAGCTGTCTCAGGACCCCTGTTCCTTTTGATTGGCTCACTGGTGACTTTTTTTGTTCATAGAGTAGTCATTTTTAATGACATTCAGTTTGTCTTAGAATCAATGAGGCAGTTTGTGAGCCCACAGATGCTGTGCTTACTTCAGGCCTTCCCACTCTCTGGGCTGCAGCACTCTCTTTCTGGTTGTTTGTCCAGGGTTCTTTGGAAATCGCTGCTTAGATGATGCTTTCTATGAGAACCTGTTCCACACTCTAGATTTCCCATCTTCCTTTACCCGTGCCTTTCCCTAACCCATTTTTAAATAGAGTACCTTCTAGCTATTTTTCCAGTTTCAACTATGTAAACAATGTGTCCTGATCATATCCAGCCCTCTACTCCCCCTAACCCAGTTTTGCTGTCATTTGTTTTAATTTCTTGTAAATTTGTTGTCCTCTATAAAATGAATTCAATTGAAACGCCACTGCTGCCTGCCACCTTTGTTCCAGAGAGAGAAAGAGAGAGAGAGAGAGAGAGAGAGAGAGAGAGAGAGAGAGAGAGAGAGAGAGAGAGAGAGGATAGGGGGGTGGAGTGCGAGAGAGAATTGAGAAGACTCCTTGTCATTTCATGGTGTTACTGCATCGTCTCTTTGCTTGGTTGCTCCCAGGAGACTTTTCCATGAGCTGCTGAGGAGTTCTCCTACCTCAGCTTGTTTAGCTTGCATTCTTTTCCTTTTGTTAAAAGTGAGATGTTGCCAGGGAGCAGCATTAGGGGGGTAAAAATGGATTTTCTATTTTAAAGGATTATAATTGCTAAGACTGTCCCATGGTGAACATTTCCCCTTTGTACAGCAAGGAAGCCAAAGCGAAACTTGTGACCCATTCAGGCGTGAAGTACGGTTGTGCCATTAAAGACACACTTTCATGTCGATGTCTTAAAAATTAAGGAGATTTTCTTTGTGGGGGGTGGTTTCTAGGCCATATTGGAATGCTTCGAGCAACTCAGATGACCCAGGAAGTTACAATTAAAGATTTAGAGTCAGAAAAATCCAGAGCCAACGAGAGATTATGTCAGCTTGAAGAGGAAAGAGCTTTTCTGCAAAGCAGAACGCAGAGTCTGGATGAAGAACAGAAGCAGCAGGTGCTGGAGCTGGAGAAGGTATTGTGATGGGTGCCCGGGGACGGGAAGGGACGTTCAGATGCCACTCCTGCCACACGGGAGCCTTATGCTTCTAGTCTAGTGTGTGTCGCTTTGTTTTCGAGGAATGAGGTTAAAGAGAGGCCACACGGTATTATGTATGTATTCTGGTTACTTAGGTAATAATCTAGTTTATAAAAGTCTAGGAATTTCAACTTATTTCAGGCCAGAAACTGAGTTAACGCTTATTGCACTGGGATTTGTATTTTATCAAATATCATATGTAGCGTACTTTTTAAATAAGTGATTATGTTATTGCATACACTCCTAAGAAACTGCTTTCTCTTCTTCCTCTCCCTTCCCCTACACCTACTTCCTTCCTTCCTTTCTGGTTTGGGTTTCTGTTTTTTGAACTGGGAATGGACCTCAGGGTCTTATATGTGTCAGGAAAATGCTTTGCATCTGAACTCTCTTCCCAAACTTGTTGAACTTTTTATTTTGAAACAGGGTCACTTTATGTCTCACTAAAGCTGGCCCTGAACTGTGATCCTCTGTGTAAATAAAAATGAGAGCATTTCATTACCAGCTCTGTATTTTCTCTTCCCCAATTGAATTGATTTATATTCTCATATTCTCTGTCTCTGCTGTCTCTGTCTCTCTGTCTCTCTGTCTCTCTGTCTGTCTCTCTCTCTGTCTCTGTCTCTGTCTCTCTCTCTCTCACACACACACACACACACACACACACACACACACTTTTCTACCCACCTAGGCTGTGCCTCTTTCCTGTATTCTCTAACAACATAAAATAGATGCCCTTTCGTAGAACTCATAAACCTGTTGCTACTATCTTCTTACTTCCTTTCATCACTGAATTGTGATTGGTTGAAAGGTACATAATTAACACACCAATTGTACTGAATAATATTATTTGAGTAGTTATTAGGTAAGCTTTTTATGTACTGCACACAAACCTTTCTTTTAAGTTTGCCATTATTTGCTTCTAATACAGCAACAGTTCTTTTATTTCTTGATCTAATATATTTTATTTTGCTTCAGCTGCCCTGTCCCCCTTTGAGAAAACCAATTATAAGGTTTCAAAGTCTAGATCCCAAAGCAGTTAGTTCATTCCGGTTCACTTATGTCTAAGGTGTTCACACATCGATAGCACTGATGAACAAAGGAGGTGCCGCTTCTTAATCTTTTCTGTTTTCATTCAAGAAAGTAAATGAAGCAAAGAGAAGTCAGCAAGAATATTATGAAATGGAGCTTAAAAACCTGCAAAATAGATTGGAAGGTGAGGTGGCCCAGCTGAACGAGGCGCACTCGAAGACTTTAGAGGAGCTAGCCTGGAAGCACCACATGGCCATAGAGGCTGTGCACAGCAACGCCAGCCGAGATAAGAAAAAGCTGCAAATGGTGAGTGCAAGCCAGCGGGAGTCCCGGCTCCTGTCTTGTCACCATGGCTCCAGCAGTGAAATCCACAAACCTGAGATTTCTTCCCTGCCCTCCTCTTGAGACAGGGCCTCACTGTGAAGCTCAGCCTGTCTCATCCTCATCATTCTCCTGCCTCCACCTCCCAAGTGCATGCCCCACCACACCTGGCTTTCATTAAGTTCTCAGTGGGGGTATGGTTTGTTAGCAGACTACTTTATCTGAGCCATCACAGAACACTCTTTCTTCTGGGACTTTCTCATGAGTTAACTGTACCAATCAGGAAGCCTTAATTCACCTGCATAGATATCTCTAGTCATAGCTTCCTTGTCTGGGAACATTGTGCATGTGTGTGTGTCTTTATTTTCCTTCCTTTCACCTTGTGAATGGTACTGCCAATATTGCACAGTAGAAAACTGTCTGACACCCGGGTCTTGGCTATGGTGGCATGGACCCTACTCTCACCTCTGGCACCTTCTCCGACAGAAGAGGCTGTGATGCGTCCTATAACGTTCCTGAAAAGATCCAGTGGGCGCAGATGCTGGGTACTCAGACATGTCCTAGCTGTGGTGACCAGCAGTGTCGCTGGGATGGTTGTCACGTGCCATGCATTGCAGTTATGCTTTACACGTATATCTTTGGTTCCTCCTGTGACAGTTGATGGCTGCTGCACCCTGTCTACTGATCAGTGGAAGTACTCAGTCACAGATCTGTCAAATCATACTGCATTTAATACCCTCGTGCAGGAGTTTGTTAATAGGGGTGCTAACGTTTTATAGGGTAGCACTTTATAGTTTACTACTGATTTTCTGTGGTATATTTCTTCATACCAATGACTTGGCGCTTAGTGTCATTTTCGTTATAAAGTATATACTATATTTAATAAGCCTAAATGGTTTTTTGCAAAACCATGAACCTGATTAAGTGGAATAGTTAAGACACAAATTCAAATTTAGATGTTTGGCCTTGATACCTCTTCGTTTTGTGGCATAAGTACTGGAAGAAATATTCTAAGATGTAAAATTTAAGAATTTAAGAAAGATTTTCTGTTAGAATGTTACTTCTTTCTGAACTAGTATGTGTGCATCTAAGCACAGACGAAATTGTCTCAAGACTGACTGCCATTCTCTCCGTGCCCCTCACACATCCCATCCTGATGTGCTTGCTTACGGAGGCAGCTGTCACTGCTCAGGGTGCCACACTAATGCATGCAGTGGACAAGGCTGCTCGCCATTTCCTCCCTAGCCACTGTTTGTCATCTTATTTATGTGTTTGTTTGTAATCGATGACGTCCTGCTTTCAGGTGTTATTTAAGCAAGCCCTACGTTGTCTTTAGCTCATGACTCCCAATCATCACCCAGTAAATTCTGATCTTTGAGCCACCTGCAAACCTGCCTCAGCCCACATATGCCTCTTTCACAAAATAATTTCCATGTATTTATTTTTATTTTATGTCTAAGCATTTCCCCTGTACAAAAACTGTGCACTACATTTGTGCAATGGCTGCTGAAGTCAAAGGGCATTGAAGCCCCTGGAATTGGAATTACAGAAGGTTGTGAGCCACTGTGTGGGTGCTGGGAATCAAATTTGGGTCTACTGGAAGAGCAGTCAGTGCTCTTAACTGCTGAGCCATCTCTCCAGCCCTCCACTTACAATCCTTAAAATACGTTTCACAACATGTCTGCCATTGGAAAGATGACTTGGACTTTCCTATATGTTAGCACATTCAAAAACCTCTGTGTTGTGTTAGAGGTTTCCTTGGGAAAACAACACACATACCCGCTCACTCCAGAACGGGAGCCTGTAACAGACCAAAGTAACAATTACACCAATGTCCAAGTTGTGGAAATGATGAGTGATTATTGGGGTTCCCAGCAGGAGCTTAGATGAGGAGTAACAAGGAGCAGCAATGACTCAGAAGCAGCTGCATCTATAAAAAGCCCACCTCACCAAAGCTGCAGCGGTAACAAGCACTGTGCACGGGCTGCAAGCAGCTGCACGGGCCTGAGACTCAGACCCACAGCTGGGCTGGCCAGAGCTCCTGCCCCAGCCACTTTCCCTGCTTCTATGACGCTGGGGAGGAGCCTCTGAGAATTGCAGGTATTCCCTTCACCACACCTGTGACATTTTGCTTACCTCCTGAGGTCCCTGGGCTCCTGAAGGGACTTACCAGAGCACACTCTGGGTTGCCTTATCTGTACCACTTACCCAAATAGTGTGCTTCTAGCCTGCTGCCCCCTTCCCGTGTTGCTACCCAGCTAAGATACTAATTGTGTAAGGTCAAACCAGATCCTTCCAGAACAGCCTATCTCTTACATCAAAGCATTTTTTTAAAAAAAAGATTTAAGGGAAACAGATCAAGGCCTTGCTCAGTCATCATCCAAGAAGCTTCTTCCTGCAGCTGATGGGAACAAATACAGAGACCCGCAGCTGGACAGAGAGTGAGAGACCTTGGAACACTCAGTCCTAAATGGGTTGTCTTCCTCAAATCCCTCCCCTCAGGGCTCAGGGAACCCTCCCTGCAGAAGAGTAGGCAGAAAATTTGTAAGAGCCAGAGGGGATGGGAGATACCAGGGTGAGGGGTGGACTGTGAGGAGATCCTCTAAGTCAGCATGTTCAGCGTGTGTATGAACTCACAGAGTCTGAGGCAGCACCCTCAGTGCCCCCAGGGCCCTGCACCAGGTCCCCTGCTGTGCATTGAGGCTTCCAGTTTAGTGTTTTTATGGGACCCCTGAATGCCATCAGTGGATCTCTTGAGTTCTCTTTCTTCTGTTTGTTTTGTCCAATTCTGACCTGTTTTTGTTTATCTTATTGTATATTATTAGAAGTCTGTTTTTGTTTTTCCTAATGAGAGACAAAGAGTGAATTTCGATGGGAGGGGTTGGAAGGAGTAAAGAAAAGGGAAAAACTATTTTCAATAAAATAAAAAAAGTAAGCTCCTTATCTTAAGGAGCTTAGTGACTAATAAATATATTTATGAAAGTGAAAAATAATGTTTCGCTAAGATGACCTCTCTGTTCCTTATTTATTGCAAAAGGATTACATTTCCTACCGTAACTATAGTTCACCATCTCAATGAAAGTACAGGGACAACCTGTGCGGAAACGGTGACATCGCACCCGGAACTGCCCTCCTCAGGCAGGGTAACCCTTGGCTGCCCCTAGGACCTGGGCTTTCAGAAGGGTCTCGTCTTCCCCCAAGATGAAAGGCTTCCCTACTGAAAGTGTGTGTGAAAATGCAGACCACCTGCCTTCCTCCCAGAACTCTGGAAGAGGGTGCCCTATTGAGAAGGACCTGGGCTCCGAGGCTCCCAGGAGCCTCCCTCCAGACTTTGCTTCCTTCTGTTGTCACGGCTTGTAGAGGAGTCTAGCATGTCCCGTGTGCAGGGCCCTGGGAAGCCAGTGCCTCTAGCCCTGGAGACTCCTCTCGCACACTTTTCCCTCAGTAGATTGGGATTTAAGTATTTTCACCATAATAAGCCATGGCTATGTTGTATACCAACACTGTGGCTACTCGTAGAATTTCTTCCGACTTCAGTTTGTCATGGAGGTCCCCAACAACTCTACCACAACCTTCCTCATTGTACATGGCAGAAGCAACGCTCTAACCAAGCTGCGTGTGGATACGCACCTCCTCCGTTGTGTTTAGATATTCCTTTCCTCTGCCCAGACTGCTCGGTTCCCCTCTACTCTGCCATTATTTTTAACTGGTATGCTCTTCAGTTAGTATCAAGTCCAAAGAAAACTCCATCCCCCAAACTCCAAAAGGCAGTTCATGTATCCAGAAATGAGCTCAGCCTGGACTAAAGAGGATTTCTAGCAAAAGCTAGAAAAGGTAGCATTCCTTGTAAAGGAACTTGTAAAACTGCTTCCCCTCTTCCCAAAGGAGTCATTTCCCTTACCTCTGGCAGCAGGATATATGGCTACCTGTGGTGCCTAAAGCAGCATAGCAAAGCTCCCTCTGGCCTCCAGGCTCCTTCTATATCACTTGTACATATTAAACATTTCAAAATCCAAGCTAGTGTCCTAGCCCATTTCCCTTCCTCCCCTCCCCTTAACTCCCACCAGCTCATGGAATTCCCTCCTCCCAGCTACTCATTCCCTTATAACCCGTTATTCCTGCAGACTGCTCTTGCAGGTGTGTTTGCTCCCTCTGCGCTGTTCCTGCTTCTCTCTCTGTTTTCTCTGTTCTCTGTCCACTGCTCCCCCCCCCTCTCCTGCAGACAGCCCTGGCCGTGTCCAGTCAGCACTTCTTTCTCTCTCTGCCCTGGGACTTTTTCCAGATGCCTTACCCTTACACACACTATGGAGTGGTCATGGTGTCAGTTTTTACACTTAGGAATTACTTTCTCTCTAATGTTTCCCCTTCAAAGTTTATCCATTCCCTGCCTAGATAAGGCCCTCCCCCTTTCTGTGCCCAATTTTGAGGAGTAAGTGGCTCCTTATTTGGTGCTGTGTGTCATTAAGACAAGCTTCATACCACATCTTGTTGTCTGTGGGGCCCAGGTGTTAAGTAGCATGCCCAGAAAAGAGATACGTCCTTCAGCAGATATCATTGTAAATGATTTTATAATCCAGTTATATTCATTTTGTTCTTGTAAATTCTCAACTACATTCCACTGTGAATTCCTGAAATGTTATAGGATTTTTTGTATTTTAATATAAAAGAATGAAAATTCAAGAGAATGTTTGCTTTATCCTGCCAAATCATCATTTCTGTCATGCTTTTCTGGTTTTCTAAGATAACTTAACCAGCCAGTTATACTCTTGTGATTAAGAGCATTGTCTAAGGGCTATATCAGAATGATTTGATATACTCCATTTAATATTAAATGGTATTAGAGTTAACTGTGTTTTTTTTAAGTGGAGAGATAATTTGCAAATTAAAATGTTAATATAATCATTTGTTTCTTGGAATCTTAAGGTATATAGTTCTTCAATCTTACTAAGTTTTAATTTTTTTTTCTTTCTAAGGAATTGGAGGAACAATACAAAAAGGAGAAACTGAGTCTGGAAGAGGATAAAAATCAACTTCAACTGGAGCTAGAAAATGTAAAGCAAGTGCTGGAAGACAAGCTGACTTCAGCCAATCAGGAGGCAAGCGCTCTTTAGGCCTATCGCCTGCATTACACGTACGCTTTGTAGTAACTTAATCTGGTGGCAGGATAGGTAGGTGAGCAGAACTGTTCAGGCATCTTGAACCGGTGCTAAATTTTCATAACACTGTATTTATGTCCCATTAGGTAAATATTTACCATCAAAAACATGAAACAGCAGGGGTTTGTGGAGAAATACAAAGCCTCGGAGACTGCACCTCCCCTGGTGGAATGGGAGCAACTGTTAGGAGTGTAGATCTCTCTACACTGCACCTCATTTTAGAGAGAGAGAAACTTTGTAAGGTCCAGATCCTGACTTCTGAAACAAATTGTTGAATCTATATGAAAATATTATTTCGCCTGAGAAATAAAAGTCTAAGGATAGAATATTAAAAAACACCAGAAGTCAAAAAAATAAACTTGTAAGTAAATGTATATGTAAAGACGTTTATGAATTATGGCTTTAGCTCCTCCTCTGTCTCCATCGAGGCAATTGCTAAATGCTTCCCTATTATTTACCTTTCTCTTTCCAGTTCATCTTTCTGTGGCAACTAGGCTGAGCTTCCTCTAGTTCTCTAACTGGGTTTCTGTCTTTGCCCCTCTCATTTGCCAGCTTTTCCCTCCTCAGTGATCTCATCGCTCCCCACAGTCCTCTCCTGCCCTGTTCTACTACTCTGAATCGCCCGCAGAAACCACACAGAAGGCACAAGTTCTGGAGTTTGCTCTCTGCGTCCTTGGATTGTTTTTCAATGTTTATCCAGGGAAAATAAAGCCAACTGCCTTGGAGATGATAAAGGCTGTGGTGGATACTGATGGCAGCCCAGCCTGTCTTCTGTTGTCCTAGCTAATCCGCGTGGGCTTCACGGATGCACTTTCTCAGTAGAATCATCACAGTTACCGACCTGTACTCATTAGAAGGCCCTTTAGTGACCATCTCATGCAGGCTCCTCGGGCTTCCTCTCTCCATTCTAAATGGCTTGTCTTAGCATTTTCCCAGTCTGCGTTCTGAAACTTCTCTGAGAAGAGCTGCAGTGCATATCTAACTCACTTTTCTTGGCCACATTTTCAACTATGTTTCAGTATTCTGGCGATGCTTTGGCGCAGGGTATTATGGCTCCCTGAGAATTTGCTTCTGCTTCTGCTTCCCCTTCAGACCGACAGCCTTTCTCCTGTCCTGCTGACTCAGATCTCCAGGGATAGATTCCCAGTCTGCTTCCTGAACTTAAAATGAAGGATAGTCACATCTCCCAGTTAACCAAGGTTTTCATAAAACTCATTCACAAATCATTAGTGAAAACAGATTATAAACACATTATTATGCATATAAATGTATTAATGGGGGAAAATGAAACAATGGACATATTATGAATATTCTAATATAAATAAGTGTATAAAATCATAAGGAGCGATTCTTTGGGATTTTTGCACCTATCCATCAGTGACTCTGAATGTCATACGTTGCAATGATATGATTAGGAGCTCAGGCTCACCTCTCTAAGTCATGCCTCGTGTGTCCCTATGTCCTGAGTGTTAGTGCACCTCTATGAGGGCCACAGCAGGACCGGCTGGCTTTTTCAGTTAAAGACAAAACTTCTGTCTTTAGAAAACACTCCATATGTAAAAGAGAAAGGAAAAATGTGTAACTGGTTGATAAATTGCACAAACAGATTCTTGTCTTTACCACCTTTAGAGTGTTTACAAAACAGTAAGGAAAACAGGCACCCTGTTTTGTTTGTTTCTATAAACAAAAGAGAAATAAGAAAAATAAATTTAAAATTAAGAACTAGGAATCCATAAACTGCCACTCCGTGTGCATAAAATTAACTGTGATAAAAATTGAGGCCATGCAGTGTTGCTGAGTGTAGAGAGAGATAAACACCCGGAAGCCGCCAAGGGCAATATGAAATCACATAATATTTCTGGAAAGGGCTTAGCAGCCTGTGTGGGAGCCTCGGATGGACATGCCTGTTGACAGCAGGTTCAGTTTTGTGTTTCTCATATAAGCAAATAGTGAAGGATTACTGAGAAAATGTCAGCACCGTTTATAGGAGAAATTCAGAAATAGGTTAAATTTCCGCAGAACTCTTGTTTTCCTAAAAGAAAGGAAGTCTTTTTCTAATTCACATAGCATCATCTGCGTCTCCCCATGTTCTGGAGCTGCTTGCAGGCCTGTGGGAATTGCCTGTTTCTGCATGGAGGCACCACATGGCCTACTGGTGGCCTGGCAATAATAGTACAAGGTCAGGAAAAGGCTGAGATACTGGTTTCCTTACAGGTTAAATGCTTACATACTGAGATGGTAAAGATACTTTATCCCTTGATCAGTAAGTATATATGAAGTATTTTAGTAGTGACTCATTCATTTTTTTTAGAAAATGTTGGAAGGTTGGGTACAAGGAGCTCTTACACACTGTGATTGTACTGACAATTAGCGTGGTCCCTGCAGTGATGAGGGGTTTCACAAAATGAGGTGTTTATAAGTCTAGCTAGATGCAAACTGCAGAAGGAAGATAAGTGATTGACAGGGAATGAACAAGATGAAAAACTGAGGAAATAGTATACAAATGCATGGGAAGCTTCAAGATAGTATAGGAATGCCAGTATAGATGTGGTACTGTAATAACTACAGGATAGTATTGCTTACTGTTTCCCAGACATTGATTCATATTCTTCTCTCTTCTATCCTTAATACAGCTAGAACAGTAGATTCTAGTCACTAAGTCACTGGGGAGTGATCGAATTTGTCTGTGTCACATACTTAAGTGGCTAAGATCAAAATTTCAGTCTGAGCGATATTATTTTAGCTCAAGACCACAGTACTTTATTCTTCAAACAAATACAGAGACCAAGGGAGAGAGATTACCAAGCTAGCTGGAGAGTTAGGCAGCCTCTATGTCACAGAGGTCCTGTGAAATATTTTAAATATTAGCATGATGGAAGGCTGCTAGGAGATGCTAAGCACACATATGTGAGAACTTATTTTATGTCTATATTCATCATTTATAAAAATTCACTGTGTGCTTCCTACGAGAAGGGATTGGAGAAGAGACCCTAGGGAGGCCGTGTCTACCTTCTGTATTCCCTTAGCGGTCATAATAAGAAGGATCTAGGTTGTTCCCTTTCTGTTGCAAAGAGCCGAAGTTCCAATGCAAACCAGCAGAAGGACCGTGTGATTCAAAGGTCCCAGGATAGTGTCAACTTCAAACAGATGAGATTCTGAACTGAAATGGGTGACACTGGGACTGGGTTGCTTTGTCTCCTCTTGGATTTGCCTTCTTGGTGTTCTCCATTTTGACTTTATTCTTCAGTCATGTATTACCCTGGACAAGGTACAGCTGACAAAGGAGCTTCCCTAGGAGACCCGTTTTCCCTTTCACAGTCTAAGATCTCTATGAGTGATGTGTTCTTCCCTGTAACTGCCCCTGAATCCTTCTCAGTGGATAGAAAATGAGGCAACTGGATTGGGTGAGACTCTGATCAAGCTGATTGTCTGGAGTTTGTCTGATTCCTGCTGAGACCACAGAGTACCAACTGGGAAAGAGAGTAGATCTTCCACCTGCCAAAAGATATTTTGACAGTGATAGACAACAGTTGTTTTTAAACATAACCTGTCCCTCGAATAATGAAAACCCAGAGATAGATATTGGGGTTCAAGCTGAAGATCAGAAAAGCAAAACAACCGAATCATTGGAGAAGTCTTACCTCTACCAAGGCTGGGTGACTGCAGACTGAGCCCTGAGCCTCTGTCTCCCCCGTTTTATATTTCCCCTAGTACTGGGATCAAAGGTGTGAGCCTCCACCACCTGGATCTGTTTCTGCAATAGTCTTGTGTCAAGGATGACCTTGAACTCACAGAGATTCATCTGCCTCTGTCTCCTAAATCCTAGGATTAAAGGTGTGTGGCACCATTGCCTGGCCTCTAGTGGCTTAGTTTTACCCTCTGATCTTCAAGCAAGCTTTATTTATTAAACCATAAGTAAAATTACTATATTAACCCACTTGTATTAAACTCATAGAAAACAGCTATTTTTACTGTTTACTTGAAATTTTTATTTAATTACATTTAACTGTGCACAATTTGAAAGTTTTTGCTTATTTAAATATTTATTTCCTCTTTAATTATATTCTTTATTTCTTTAATAAACTTCCCTTTATCCTTCATGTACTACTTATAATATTATTCTTAATACATTTTTGAATGTTATATATTCATGTATCACTTAACTGAGAACTTGCTAGATTGTGGAAGAATGTTTCCATGTTATTAAATTTGGTTATTATTTTCCTTTTAAACTTTTTAAAATTTATGTGTATGTATATAAAATTTATATGTGTGTGTGTGTGTGTGTGTGTGTGTGTGTGTCCTAGATGTATGTTTCTCTGTACCATGTGTGCCTGACACCTGGAAGGCAGAAGTGGATGAGGGTGTCAGGTAGCACCTTGAAACTGCTGTTACAGACAGTTATGAGCCACCTAGTGGATGCTGTTAATTGACACTATAGCCTTGAACAGCACGTGCTTTTAACTGCTGAGCCATCTCTTCAATCTTTCTTTAAAAAAAGTTTTTAAGCCATTATCTTATCACAGTGCCCAAACTAGCTTTACCTCACTGTGTAGCCTGGGATGGCCTTGAACCATACAGATACTGTAATTGTAAGCATAGCCCACCATGCCTGGCTCTGTTCTTTCCATCTGGATTGTCCCTTATATCTTTTCTAGTTACTATCTTTCTCTATATTATGTAGTTGTTAACGTAATACCACAGAATGGGGATTATTTCTCCTGGACTTAAGGCTAGACTTTCTGCTAAGTTCAATGATATCACAGCTGTTACTACTAACTTTCTTACATTCATTTACCACCTCCATGCAGAATTATTGACAAGCCAGATCAGCACAAAAGGTTGAAAAGACACAGTATGAAATATAGAATACAGAATGTGGATATTAAAATAGTGGCCGGTAAAGTTTTAGACCACTGTAAGATGCTATAAATAAGCATGTCATTAGCCTTTAAAAATCAAGAAAGAGTGTATATTTTTATGAAAATTTGTATTTTTAAAATGACTCAAAGCACCTAAACAATTTACGAGACCAGTTATAACCACAAAAGAAAACAGTCCACCATGTGTCTAGACAGGCATTAGGTTCAGAGAATTTTTGAATTCTTTAGCTATGAATATATGTTAGAACACAGAAAGGGGGGGTCTTCTTAAATCATTTTACAAAGTTTCTGACCGTTTAGAGACACTAACCAGGTAGCAGAATCGCTCACACCTACCTCCAGACTCATTTAGCACATGCGCATAGAGACGCCTGCATGGGAAGAGCAGAAAGGCCTGTGCTGAGAAGAAAGTGTGCCACCGAGGACACCCAGGGGCAGTTTTTGTGTTTTCCTTTGAAAATGTTAATTGTGAGAATATTTTCCAGGAAAATATGCTTGTATTTTAAAGCAATCTTGTCCATTTTCTTTTCAAATGAGTTTTGACTTCATAACATTTTCTTAAAATATTTTATTCTTTGATTTTAGCTCATAATTAAAGAATTTGTGTGAACCTAGTCAACAAATTGTCCATTTTCTCTGGTTCCAACTCAAAAGTTTCTTTCCTAAGGTGACTTCTGCATGGAAACACGAAAAACAATTGGTTCTCTAGATATATTTAAGACCCGGCCAATATTGACCCAAATGCATGAAGACTTGACTTGTGGTATATAGATGGTTAAATTTTAAAGAAAGCTTTGAAACAGTTTATTTTTATCTTTAATGTAATCTTTATCTTGTGTCAGCTCCTTTTACAGGCATTTTATTATCTGATATGACCAGGAATTGTCTTTAAACCAAGAGCACAAGGGAAGTTGTACATATTTCCTTGCATTATGGTCCTAGAAAGTGGAAACTGTAGTCATGGAAGTCTTTTCAAAACAAAACAAAACAATACAAAATGACAGATGGCAAAGATTATCATGGCTAAGTGGGTCTTCCAAATTCATGAAGAAGGGATCCCATTGAGTCAAGTCAGAAATAAGGAAAAACTCTCAAACTGTGAAACCGGCACTGGTCTACCTTGTATGACGTATTAAAGCCACTCTGTTCACTCATAGATTGGTCGCCTCCAAGATCTGGTAAGGAAAAGTGAACAAGGTCTTGGCTCAGCTGAAGGACTCATTGCTAGTCTTCAGGACTCCCAGGAGAGGCTTCAGAGTGAACTGGACCTGACAAAAGGCAGGCTAAATGAGACCAAGGAGGCCCTATTAAATGTTGAGGTAAATGCTTATTTCTACTGTATTCTAAATGTCTAAATATGAAAATATATCTGGACTGCTTTGCTTAGAGCCTCTGTAAGCATCCTTGTATATAATTAGTGTATTAGTTCCCAGGAACCCCACTAAAAAGTGACAAATGCCGTGACTCGAGCCCAGCTGAAATGGGTCATCTCTTTGTTCTAGAGCTGGAAACCTAAGATGAATTCTTTTGTCTCCAAGAGGGAACCTTTCCCTTCCTTGCAGCTTGTTGTAGCCCCAGAGAGTGTCCCACATTTAGTAACATCATTTCTGTCTCCACATTATCATCTTAGAAGTGTGCTAGTCATACTGGATTAAGGGCTCAGTTGCTCCCATGTGGACTCATTTCAAGCAAATAAAACTGCATGGGCGCTCTTTCCAAATAAGTTTGCATCCTGAGGCAGACAGAGTGTAAAAGCTGAGATTTCAGGGAGGCTTTTTACGGACACAGTTAAATCCAGGATAATTTGTGTAAGTTTTTTTCCTGGTTAAAGCTGGAACTTTCAAGTATAGCAAACAAGAGTTCTCTGTGATTTACAGGTTGCGGAAGGCCCTGCCTTTCCCCTCCCTCTCTTGGGAAGTATAGCAGAGTTTCAGGACCTATAAAATTGGGCAGACACTAGATGAGGGTTTTTCATATCCTCCTTGTGTGATGATCTGGAGTGTGGGCTCCAGAGTCAGGCGGGTCTGGTCTATCCTGTGAATTCTGTGTCTACCATTTACTGTGTCACTGTAGGCAGAGATACATTTCGTCCTTGACATTTCAGTAAGCCATAGAGCAGCATAATAATACTTTTCATATCACAGTTATAATAATTAAAAAGATAAGCTGTGTACCGTACAGTGCTTAACAAACTGTAAACACTCGGTATTGGTTTTAGTAATAATATTAGCTTTTAGCTTAAAACTGGTGATACTCCAAGGTGTAAGTACCTGATGCACCGTCTATACTGTATCTATATGATTCTATTCATGTTTTACCTAGGGAATAATTGAGTGTACTTTGAATATCAATTGCTTTTCATTTTTGAAAACTATGACTTCAGATAGATGGCTTCTGTTTACCTTTCTGTAGTGGCTATATGATACACCAGTGCTAATATGATGAAGAGTAAGTCTGGATTTAGATTTACTGTAATATCCAATATATTTAATGTATGCAATGCCAAACATTGCACATAATATCAGTGGTAGCAGTCATCCACATAAGGCTGAATAGAATGGCTAGTTCATTTTAAGAAGTGTTTTGTACATTGGCAAAAGTAAAAGGAAGAAGGTATTTTAAATTAGTAAATCTTTAGCGTTGAAAGTCACACATGGCGTGTGTGGGTATGAGTGTTTATTTATATGGTACCTCATCTTGATATACACCCCATTCCTAATTTTGATGTATTTCATCCTATAACTGCAGCCTCAGGGGATCTGATACCTATGAGGGCATCTGAATTCACGTGCCCACACACATAATTAAAAATAAATATTAATGCAGAATTTCTTTAAATAAGAAATACTTTGAGACATTTTCTGCTATTTAATATTACCTGCTGTGGGGAAAAAAATGGTCCCTAGAGGCTGAGCAGTATTCCAGAACAGTTCCTGAATTGTGGTTCTAGTAGTTACCTTTTACTGGCCAAGTAAGCCGTGTTGAAAGGGAATTTCAATATTGACTTTTTTTTTGTCGTTAATCTGAATACAACTTTTAAAACTGTCTATCCTGAGCTGTCAGCCAGAGAGGTGTCCAGAAATGCCCAACACAGTGACCAAAGGATAGGCTGCCACCGACCATCTCGTCCCATTGGGCAGCCACAGCACTGACAGTGGTCTGTAGTAGCGGAGTCTTGTCAGGTGGTCACCTCTAAGCCCCAGCTCCAGGGAATCAATCTGCAAGGATTTCCTGTGTATCATGTCAGTATCTGAGCATTAAGCTCATGGCCTGTGGCTTAAGTTACAGAAGAAAATATCCAGTAAACTTAAATTCCTCGTAATTCCTTAATCATATTAATGGTATACCGATGTAATGATTAGGCTTTAGACAAATAACCTGGTTTTGAATATGAATGTGAATTAACGTCAGGAATGAGGAACATATGATGTATGTTTGTGGCTAAAAAAATAGCTTTAATTATATAAGTTTAAACTGTTTAAATAATATGAGCTTTAATTTTAAAAATGAAGAAAGAACAATTAAAATATAGGATGTGTTCCGCCTATTCAGTGGAAGTGTCTTGACTAGTTCTCCTAGCTAGCTTTATCAACGGCTCCCGTAAGGTCTGCATCAGCGTGCTCTCCTGCGGCAGCAGTGCCTGGGCTTGTGGGAACCAGACCTCATTTGTGTTTCTGTTCTGCAGGCTGAGCTAGAACAAGAGAGGTGCCAGCATGAACAAACACTTGCTGCCATGAAGGAAGAAGAGAAGCTGAGGGTGGACAGGATGGCCCATGACCTAGAGATAAAGTGGACTGAAAATCTCAGGTACCCCGGGCTCTTCAATGCAGTCTTACTGGTACAGAGGAGCAGGAAGTGTTCCTGTTGTAGGCTCCTCATTACAGATGTACTAGGATGTTTTAGGTTAATTTTTCTCATGATTAAATGCAGGGAAAATACAGAGTTTTTTTGTTTGTTTGAATTCAAATTTACTCTTTAAATTTAATTTTCTTGAAAAAAGGCAATGTATGTATATATATGCAGAGAACTATCCTGAAATTAGAAGACTCATTTATTCTTATGCCTATTCTGCCAATGGTAGATTGATAAGTGGTTTTGGTTAGGTTACCGGTTTCCTGAAAGTTAGCCTGGTGACACAGACTCACAGAGGTGAGAGTGAAATGAGCTTTTAGAAACCCCCTTGAACCACTAGAGAATGTTGCTCGAGGGCAGTGACTCTCTTTACAAAGCAAATGCCTGTGTTTGTTACAGACAAGAGTGCTCTAAACTTCGCCAGGAGCTAAGGCTTCAACATGAAGAGGACAAGAAGTCTGCGATGTCTCAACTGCTGCAGCTGAAAGAGCGAGAGAAAACTGCTGCCAGGGATTCATGGCAGAAGAAGGTGGAAGACCTTCTAAACCAGGTAGGTTACAGTCTGCACTAGCGGACGTTCGTCTCCTTGGCACTCTCCAGTCGGCTAAACAAACCTACTACGTGTCAGTTCACTGTGTTTTGCTTTCCATAGGGCAAACTTAAACATTTTAAACGTGTAAAACCACACAGACATAGTCATATGAAACATTGTACTAAGTAAATGTGTTGCGTGTGGGACCCTAGGTTCTGAGAAAATTTCATAATTTTTTAGTTTTTGATTTGAGCAGAACACATCCACTTTACTTGGGAAGGTCAGCTAGATTTTGAAACTGTAAAATAATTTTGTTTCTAGCCCTAAGATGCCATCTGGGCAACAGAAGATGTTTATTAGCAGTGTCCTGATTCCCTGAAAACATTTTCCCAAGTGAGCAGTTGTGTCTGTCTCTGTTGTGGGTTTATGACTGAAGTCCTGGAAGAGTATGGCATGAACAAAGGTGGTATTTCTAGAGCTATCTTATTTCCAAAACACAAATAACTTTAATTAAAATAGTTTGTCCATTTCACTTACTACACAACCTGGGACTTTATGAACTTTTTTGTACTGGTAAACCAGTAACTGAAAGGCCTGGCTGTGTGCATCACCAAGCAAGGGCAGACGGCAAACTGTAATTAAATAGACTTTATTGTGTATATAACCAAGCAAGGGCAGAACTTAGACATGAAACAACTCCTAATTTAGTGCTGAAAATCTATTGATATCTTCATCTTTTAATTTCTGTTTATGACGGTGAAGAGCTTCAAAATAGAATTCAACATAGGCTTTCTATAAGGTGATGGTTATATATACAGAAACATACATTGCCCTCTTAGAAGTGCTTGAGACCTGCCCATCTGTGTCTGCTTTCTATAATTTGTAATGAAGCTCTGAAAAGGTAGAGGGAGAGGGAGGGGTAAAAGGGAGGGAGAGGTCAAATCATTAGGAACCTTTGAAATAAGAACAAACAAACAACTCTCAGTAGAGGCTGGCATCACATTTACACAGCTCACTGGTAACCTGTATACTTCCTTTACATTCTTATTTAGGGACCAGAAAGGGCAGATTTTCCTGAGTGATCGACCCCTCTCCTTCTGTCATGCCTCTGCCTCTAGACAGATGTATTCGGCTCAGTTACATAATAAAATGGAAACCATCCCTAAAGTCTTTCTGATATTTTTTAGCCAGAAAGTACTGAACACGGAGATTTTAGGGACTGAGTTTATATCAAAGAAACCTCACCACTTGCCCCATCATTTTTCTTTAAATATATTTTATTATTTTCTATCACATGTTGTTCCTTTGTGCACATACACCCACGTGCATTGTGCATGTGTGGAGGTCAGAGGACAGCTTTCAGGACTCAGTTATCTCCTCCCACCATGTGTCATCAGACTTGGTGGCAGACACCTTTGCCTGTTGAACCATCTTGCTGGCTCTGTTTTTGTTATTCTTGTAGTTCATGTATTCAGTTCTCAGAGGTCATCCTTGTTCCTTTTTTCCTTTCTGTCCTCCTCCCTCCCTCCTTTCTTTTTTTCCTTACTTTCTTCTTTGTGTTTCTACAGTACTTATTCCTAAGAGGTTATTTTAATATTTTGTTTGCCCCTCTTTGTATCCCATGATTATATTTTAACTGATTTTTGTTGTTGTTGTTGATGATGATGATTGATAGTGGTGATGGTGATGATGGTGATGATGGTGGTGGTTGTGATGGTGGTGGTGATGATGGTGGTGATGATGATGGTGGTGATGGTGGTGGTGATGGTAATGATGGTGGTGTTGGTGGTAGTGATGGTGATGATGATGATTGATAGTGGTGATGGTGGTTATGATGGTGGTGGTGATGATAGTGATGACGATGATGATTGATAGTGGTGATGATGCTGGTGGTGTAGGATCTCCTTATGTTGCCTAATCTGATCTGGAACTTTGGGCTCAAGTTCCCTTTCTCTCTCAGACCCCCAAGTGACCAGGCCTATAGTTGTATACTAGCAGGCCAAGCTTAAAGGGTTGCAGAATAGCCCAGCACAGGCTGTACTTTCTCAAAAGCAAAACCACTAGGCTTCCATTCTGCAATAATATCTGGAAAGTTGTAAAGAAAACTCTTGACTATATTTTCTGTTCTTAGTCCTGTAGTATCATCATGTATTCTTTTATTTCCCTCTCAAGGCAGATTTTATTGTGGTTCCAAACTGAAGATTCATATATTTATTTTCATTTAGGACATTAGCTGAGAAATTAAGGAAACTGAACTGACCACTCAGACATATCTATGGAATATTGGAGTGATCTAAATTCTCTCAGATAATGTGGATGGAATGGCTAGAACTGGAATCCATTGTTATCTGTAATTAGCCAGAGTCAGAAAGTCAAATAGCACATATTCTCACAAATGCAGGACATATTTTAGGGTGTGTGTGTGTGTGTGTGTGTGTGTGTGTGATGAAACTGGCAAGGGGCTCATGAGAGGAAGAGGTCTAAAGAGAGAAGGGAGTAGGAAAAATAGAGGGAGCTAGAATACATGTAAAGTGAAAGCAGAAGGGGCTCAATTTAGGGACGAAGCAGAGAGAGGAAAAGGGGAAGGCGGAAGAGGCAAGGTGTACACTATTCAAGGCATAGTGTACGTCTCTTTAATTCTCCAGCTAGTCCCCACCTTCTGGACTTTTGCTTCCTCCTGTTTTTCTATGAATAACTTCAGCCTGTGGGCAGATTAAGCTGTTGATTAAATGAGGACCCTTAAAAACTCGGTTGTCTCTAAAATGTCCTATAGACACACCCAGAAATATGCTTTTTTTCTCCTAGGTATCTCTCGGTCCAGTCAGCTGTCATGGTTAATCTTTACCCAGGGGCTTTCTCCTTAAAACGCTACAAGTAATAGGATTGTAGAATTTACATGCCATCATGTTTGCCAATTACTGATAGTAAAATATTGCCCTGCTTTTACAAGGTTTAGAAGGTTTAGAAGGATGACGACTAGCTAGATAGCTCAGTAGGTAGAGGTGTTTGATACCAAACTTGAGGACCTAAGTTTGATCCTGTTACTCATTTGGTGGTAGAAGATGGGTAACAGAATCCTGCAAGTTGTCCCCTGACTCCTGCCAGAGCTCTGAGGACCCAGGCCCCCTCTTCTCACAAAATAAATAAATCGTATGTTAAGAAGAAGTTGTTGAAGCCAGGCGGTGGTGGCTCATGCCTTTAATCCCAGCACTGGGGAGGCAGAAGCAGGCGGATCTCTGTGAGTTCAAGGCCAGCCTGGTCTAGTTCCAGCTAGTTCCAGGACAGGAACCAAAAGCTACGGAGAAACCCTGTCTAAAAAAAAAAAAAAAAAAAAAAAAAAAGAAGAAGAAGAAGAAGTTGTTGAAAAACAAGGAGCAGGAATCATTTCCTAAGAGCATTGTTTTTTATATACAGTGATCTAAATTTCTAATTCAATGCAATATTTTAAAGAGATTGTTTTCACTTTTCCTCAGTCATCTGAAAGTCTGACTTATGCTCCTCCTTTGGGAGGAGAAATCATGAAGCGTGGTGCTTACACCTGCAGCCCAGCACTCCAGATGCTGAGGTAAAGTAGTACTCTGAGTTGAAGACTGTCCTGGGCCACCATGTTCAAAACAAAATAATGGAATTTTTGAAACACATTACATATTTAGTAAGCTTTTAACACTGAAGCCTCTGAGTCCACTCAGTGAACTGGTGATGGCTCATCCCCCTTGAAAATTACAAAGCAACTTAAGACTCTTGAAAATGATGAGTCTGTAGGGCATCAGTTTTGTTGGTATGGATTATAGAATTATGGTATGGATTATATTTCACATAGAAGCTCTTAGTTTGTACAGAGTCCTTAGGCGGGCACTTGCAGTTTGGCTTGTATTCAGTAACAGATGACCACAGACCACATCCTTAATAAACAGTGGAGCTTGGTTTCTGATCGCTGCGAAGGCTAGGAAGTCCAAAGTTCGAGGTTTCTACAGCTTTAACCTGGCCAGGGCCCACTCACTGGCTTTCTCTCACTACATGCGTCCTCACACAGTGGAAGGGCCAAAGGCTCCGCTTCCTAACACTACGCCATGGGAGGTTAGGGTTTCATCATCACTGCTCCCCGGTATTCATGCCGTCCTCACATGCAGAATATATTCATTACTTCCCAACATCCTCCCAAAATTCCATCTCATTCCCGCGTCAACCCTAAGGCAACTTGTGCTCTTGCTGCGAAGCTGTGGAGCCGATTAGTCAGCTTCTCGCGCACTAACAGAATATCCAGCACAACGGTAAAGGGTGAAGTTTATTTTGACTTGTAGCTTTAGAGCTTTCAGCCCATAGCTGCGGAGACTGGTAAGGCTTCTGGTGTGGTGCCAGGCTGTCAATGGTTGAAAGCCTGTCATAGAGGAATATTCAGGGCCGGAAGACCAGAAATGAGAAAAGGGTTGGAGTCCCACCCTCTCCCTTTCAAGGGCTTGGTCCAGCAATACAAGGCTCTTTACTAAACCACTTCTCTCAGAAACTATACCACCTCCCAGGGGTACCACCTCCAGGAGCATCACCCTAAGAGCCAAGTCTTTATCACATGGATTTTCAGGAGACATTTACCATCTAAGCCATAGCACTAAGTAGGTTTTAAGCATCCCACATACAAATATGGGAAAGGAAGAAAATGGGCATTCCATTTCCCAAAGTGAGAAATAAGACAAGAAGGAATGATTCCAAGCTGCAAGGCAGATGCATACAGTGAGATCTAAAGACTTGAGAGCCGCCCCTCTACTTCTCTGCCCTCTAGTGCCACTCTTGCTGAAGTCCCAGTCTCTAGAGACAGTCAACCAGCAGGCCTGGCCCTAAAGCTTTGGAACCCCACCACCAGATTTAGGAGTCTTGGCTTGCTAGCAGTGAGGCACAGGGTTTCTCCTTGAGAAACCAAACACAGATGGTTCACTTTCAGGTTTTTCCTTCCT